TTTTAAATTTAAATTCTTTTAAAATTTAAAACTTAAAAAAGTTTAAAGTTACTTTTTTTCAAAATTTTTCCATTAACTCTGAAAAACAGACAACGTTACTCCTTGCAGTCGGCTATTGCGCACAATTTTTGTAGCAAGATTTTTACTCCAACATGCTTTGTCATTGTAGGATCTTTGGCAAGAGTTTCACATTGCAGTTAAGGGGTAGTTCCTCACACTTTATCAAACTATGTCAGTTTGAAAAGGACGTTTGACTTTGAATTTGATAGATTGTAACATGGTGGCTAGGACTCAGAGTGCTTTCTACAATTCTGCGCAAGTCCGGCCTCTCTATCTGTTGTGGTTCTCGAATGGTTGGCATTTTACCCGACCAAATGGTAACGAATTTTGGGTGACTTAGGAAAATGTCTGCCATTCGAGAACTGCAACAGATAAAGAGCTCGGACTTCCGAGGGTTTGTAGCGCTTGGAAATCTCTGTCGAATGACGTATTACGTTACCGTTTCCAATAAATCGTTAATTTGCAAATAAAAGTGTAACCACCAGAGTGATATTAATTAGTATTTATTAGTATGACTAATTATAAATTATTGTCTTACCAAAACTTTTTCCTTCAGACCATAACAACAGACCATTGGCTATCAATACCATGCAAGAACAACATTTCTACGATTATTTTTAACCGAGCTACAAGCTTTACAAAATGGGAATTCTAATTAAAATTTAAACTTAATTACTTAATAACTCTGGGAATAGCTACTAGTTCATCGAAAGAACTTAAGAATATATGTAGTCAGGTGTCCTCTTTAAACTGACATAGTTCGAGGACACATATCGGGGAGGGCCCCCGACTTAAACTCTTTATATATAAATATTTTATGCAACCACCATAAGCAGTTTATTTTCACTGAAATATGTAATTGCAAGGTGATACTATGTCGTAAATGAAACGCAGTTTATAAAAGAAAAATGTAATTAATTAGGTTATGTGAGTTTTTTGTGTTTTATTCTATACTACTATGATTATAATGTGTGTTGTTTCTTATAATGTATTTTTATACTCTAAAATGGTGTTGTGTGCAAACAGGCAATTATTGTAAATATTTTTTGAAAATTGTTGTTACTTTAATTTTTATCATTACATAAGGAAATAGTAAGAGAGGATGATTTTAATTATTATATGCTGATACATTTCTTTTTCTGTATTTGTCATTTGTGAACCTTTTTGTCACAAATAAAATTGATCTGTATAGTAAAAACAAAGAACAAAAACATTTTGAAAACAGAGCAATGAATAGTGTTAAATTCGATTTATATGTGTTTTTCGATGAAATATTGATATTTTCCCAGTTAAACTACTCGAAATAAGATAAAGATTGATTATAATGTCGCGTTAAATGTCCGGGTGTGATTCATCAAAAATAACATTTTATCTTTTCTTTACATTTAACTAAAAAAAGGTCTTAACTTTATTCGTTCAGTGGGATACCATAACGTAGTACTTATAAACTCAGAGTAATTGAGAAAATTGTTTAGTCAATTATAACAGATTATTTTGCTACTGAACCAACTTGGTACATATTCTTAAACATATTTGTAAAACACCGTTTGTTTTACTAGAACTGTTTTATATCCCAATCTATCTATGAACAATTTCCCTGTGCTACAGTCACGAATGGTGCTGCATTTTAAATTTTCAGGTGAAATAATGCTGAACAGGCTACTTTGTAACGATGTGAGACACTTTAATTTGTGAAAGGAAAAAAGTAATAAAAAAATATACACAAAAAGAGCGTATTTTTATGATGAAGAAATAAGCGAAAGACTAGGTATTATCAACTTGATATTTTCTTCACATACAAATATCACACATTTCATTAATGTTTCTAATTATCCATTTTCTCCATTTTATTTCGATGTTTTTCAACATCTTGAATCCAATTTCTTATTACTTGTTCTTTTTCGGGTGGCATCAAATCATTTTCTTCGATATACTTTTTAACGTCTGTATACGCATATGAAACATTTGGATCACGGGATTTATAAGAGACTGCTGATTGTATACGTTCATTTTCTCTTGTATTTATATTTGTCGGAGCACGAAATTTTGATGCTGCTGTGAGGGGTACTGCGAGTGTTGTGGATGTTGTTTGTTGTGCATTGGAATCTTTTAATCGTAAATATTTCGTTTTATCTATATTTGTTTCACTTCTATGTAGTTGTTCTTGTAATCGTAATTCATTCGTCGATGAATAGTAATGATTTAGACCGAGATTGAATGTGCTACTCTTATTCGGAGATAAAGGTTTCCGATTTGCCGTTAAATCAAATGATGATCCACTTAATCGAGCTAGTTGTTGAGTACTAGCACCAATATTGTTATTCTCGTTGTTTGCACCACCGTTCATATCATAATATTCATCGTGAAAAGATGATTTTGAATTAACATAATTACGTTGTTTAGATGATGTATTTCTTGGTCGAGCTGCTGCTGATAAAACAGAACTTACATTTGGATATTCTAGTCGGGAAACTCGATTGTAATCACCCGAACGATAACTTTCACTACGTACAGGGACAAAATTCATATTTTGATTATTTGTCTTGTTTATTCTTGTCTGGCGAGATTTCGATGCCGATAAAACAATATCACCATTTATATCTGTCCGTCGATTATCACCCGTATTACTGTTACTTGGTATATGCAAAAGAGAACTGGCTACGCCATTATTTTCATGGAGAATGCCGTTAGTAAGATTTTTCGCTGATGATAATTTCGTTTTTGTTGGACTTGACGCACGGATAAGATTATTACTAGATGTGTGACCGTTTTCATTCCAAGAATAATCACTTGCACGATAAACAACTAAGATAAAATATGAGTATAAATAGAAATTGATAAAATAGTTAGTAGCAAACAAGCCTACCAGTCACAGTAATGATTGTTAAGCAAATACCATAAAGACTTTCACTACTAGATTTATACTCAGAGATCGCACTTCCTTATTTATTTTTATCCGCTTAGATGGTTTGGTTTTCCAATAAGGTCTTTATAAATTAAAAGAAGCTAAACGAGTGTACGCTGAATGCCATAGTGATTGTTTGCTTTGAGGTTATCTTATTTTTACTCGTCTATCTCTCGTTAATTTTCAGTCTCTTTAAGCAGAGACGTTGAGGACAAAAAAATACCAATGAGACGGTGTAAAAGAAATTTTTTTTTAAAACACATAATTCTTAGTTTCAGTCTTATTCCTAGTTTAGCTATAAATACCGAAATGGAAAAAGAAACACTTTTATTTCTTTTTCTGTTTTTCTCACAAATGTCTTTGGGTACTTCTATTCATCTATAATAGATATGTGGTAATATGCGATTAAGTCTTTTCCTGTTGAGCTCTATGTCACAGAACTGAGTCCCAACATTGTCGTCTTCGATAAAATAATTAGTCTTCTTGTCAAGTTAATCTCCTCAGTTGCGGTTAACCAAGTTATTTTGCTTTGAATTTTTGACAGTAAGATAGGAGATATTAGGATCATTGTTACAGCTTATTCGACTCAACTTCTTTAGAAAGTTTCTCTTTGTGAATCTTTTCTCAATAGAAAGTTGCTATAATTATTTTGTCTGTTGCTGCTACATGTAGGCACTGCGGATAAATACGTAGTTTTATCTTGTTCGGAGGCTCTACAACAAGATAAGCGATTATAATCGATTTTTCAATTTAAACTCAATGCAAAGTGAATTTCTAGAATTTTTCGTGTAAGAAATGAAATTAATCGAAAATTGCTCACTTTTATTGGGCTCAAATTGTGGACTATTTTGGGCAAATGATGGAGATCTTTTCTGTATAGAAGCGCTGCCTTGACTACCATTTGTGGCATTTTTCGATTCTGCCGTTATTCCCGAAGCGCCATGAGAAGCAGCAACAGCAAACTGTTTACTTGTAGATATAGTTTTACTTCTTAATGGACTTCGATCATTGTTTGTGAACGCTATTTGTCGTCGAAGTTTTGAAGCGGATGGTGAATAAGATCCATTATTCTCACCGCCGCCAATGTCTGACTCTGGTCGACCACTATTGATCGGAGGGAACATAGTTGACATCGCAATGTAGGAGGGCTCTGTTAGTTTTCTGTGAATAAAACAAAAAATAAAAGAAAAAAATGCAACGAGAGAAATTATAATCATAAAAAGTACAACACGTACTATTTAGACAATTTGATTATAAAAATAGTACACATAGCAAATATTTGTTATAACCTCTACAGATAATAATACAATATCGAACAGTACTGCCAATTTTTTGAATGTTGCTATCCCCCACAAAAGATGAATAATGAACGAGAAGTTTTATGCTATACTCAGATATAGTAGAAAGGATGGTACAGGATTTTTGAATTTTTATACAAAACTGGGCTTTTTCAAGTATATAATCTTATAAGTATAAGTTTGACGGTTTCAAATAATCTTTTCATATGTTAACCGTTAATGAATTTCTTTAATCATGATTTCTTTTTTTGTATCACATTTTTAACTTATATGAATTATATAATGGAAACAGCTGATGTTTACCATTTCAAAAATGCCTGTACACTTCAATTATATAATCATAATCTATTTCCAGTTACATTTATTATATTAGTACTAGTTTTGTATTAAACATATTTTCCTAATGTTTTTTCAATTTTTTCCACAATGCACCTGAAGTGATATACTGAAACCCTACTTAGAGTATTAATTGGCTGCTTTTCATTCGAATAAGTAATTTCTAACTAAATGAGACTGATACTTACAACATTCCTCCTGAATAAGGAAGATGATAATTATCTTTGATCTAAGAAGACTATGATGTCTTGAAATAGAAAAAATTAATAATATCCATAAAAAAAAAAGATTGTCGTTGTAAAGCAGAGAAAAGAATCAATTACCGATTGTTATCGGTTGAAAATAATAATTTCTCTCCTCACTTTACTCTTATCCTTTCTCTCTGTCGCTCTTAACACATATATATATATATATATATATATATAGACATTCTTTTCGTTGTTCTTTTACTCTCATTTTATTTTTTATTTTAGAAACTTAAACAACCTTTTCAAGTATTGTATTAACAAAAAAAAAAAGAACATTTCTTCATAAATAATAACGACACAATCATATTCGCTTTTTTACGTTTTTCTATATGACATATAATTGACAGACAAAGAAAAGTAGTAGTATGCACCCAGCTATAAAACTATGCGAGAATGATGGGGAATAAAGAGAAAGAACAAAAAAACAATATGTATGAACATTATTCTTTAAATGATTATTATCTGAAGACAGACATAATTAACAGAAATTAGCCTATATTAGTCTTTTATTTTTCCTTATTTTTATATCAGTAAAACTTGATTCACATTTATCTTTCAAACTATTTTTATATAAATTTCAGTTAATGAAGTATTATATTTATTAACAGCTTCTCATGCGACTTTGTTACTATAATTGTTAATAATCAAGCTACTTAAATTTACCCATAGTTAATATTGTCGGAGTGCTCGTACGTCTACATTATGAATGTAACGTTAATGAAAAATACACTATTCTCAAATATTTGTCGGAAATAGAGCTTCGTATGGACTGGACTGGACTCAAACTTTCAAAAGACTATGAACTCGAAAAAACTTTTGAATTCACTTGAATCGAGGAAAAATCAGTAAAAAAACAGGTAAAAAGCACCAAAAAACTACCTTTTTAGAGTCCATGGACTCTGACTGGAGTGGACTGGACTCAGAATTGTGAGTTCATAGGAGTTCTGGTAGGAAATATATCGTATATTCTTTACTAAAATGTGATCTTTAATTGATACTCTGTAAAATTATCACTTACATGACGTATTTACAAAGAAATTTTGAATGATAGAAATTTTGAACAGATAAAAATCGAGAGATAATCATAAAGTTAATCATTCTCTCTATTAATTTTTTCATAAAAGTCATTGTTAACGATATAAAACAATATGAGAGCATAAACGAGTGATTTAATTACATATATTCGGGCTATGGTATCTAATTTACTTGTAGAATAGTAGATCATTAGATCAGTGACAATTTTAAACAATTTCAAAAAAGTACTATATACATCTAACATGAAAATTATTCGTGTTAGATGATTATACGTTCTAATATAACTTACCAAACTTGGATACCATGATTATCTTCAATCAACTATTTTTATTAAGATTTTATTTAATAAACACTCACGTTCGTTTATACTTTTTTTTAAAAGAACAATATTTTGATGAAAAATTCATCATATTTTTTAACACAATCTAGTTGAGTGAATTATGAGCAGTTCATTTTCTCAAACAGTTGCATTGGACAAAACAAAAGAAAGAATAAAATGAGATTATGATCAAGTTGACGAATTTTTCTTTAGTTTTTTGTTTGTTACAAAAAAAAAAAGTGTGAACAAAGATATATTTCAATATTTTTTTTGTAAATAACAAGTAAAAATATTAAATATTTTTATACATATGTAACAGTTTAGAAGAACAGTGAGTATGTAAAACTTACAAAAAAGAAGAAACATCAGACCTGGATATAAAATAATGTTTAACATACGATTTACGAATACAAAAGCTTAAAGGACAGAATCTTTATAGCATATTTTTTTTTTTTTGTTATTATTCAAAAATTCAATTTATGATATCTAAAAATTTCCAAAATCGTCTAACTATACGACTCTTTTGAAATAAAATAAAAATAAAAAAATTAACATAGATAAAATCATTTTTTCTTTATGTTTTTTTTTTATCCAATTTATATTCAATCAATATTTTCTAGAATATATATATTTTAAAAATTGTTTAAATAGACTAGAGTAAATTTTAAACTACAATAAATAGAAATATATACAATATTTATTTTGATATCTAATAATTAGTTTGAGAATTAAATATTTTCCTATACACAATGATTATAGTCAATAGTATAACACATTATATTTTGTTTAAATCAATTGTTGAAGAAGTATCATAAATATTAAATCTTCCATCATAATATGGTTGAGAGAATAATCTATAACCTGTAAAAAAAAAAGAGGCAAATATAATTCAAATTATTCATTATTAGAAAATGATCATATATTGATTATTAAGAGAATACAAAATAATCAATATAGAAGAAAAAAAGAAAAACTTACTTAAAAAATTATTCAAAATATCAGACCATGTTTGTGATACAGTAAAATCTGTTTTTAATGGTCTATTAATTGAAAGTAATGTTTGATCATATAAAGTATCTTTTTCTATTGAACATGGAACATTTCTATAATTAAAATTATCTTTTATTATTTGAGATACAGAATTATTCCATGATGATTGATTAGAATATTTTATTTTTTGATCTTTTGGATGAGATTTAATTGAATAACGATAGGATAATTCGTTTATTTGTGGTAGATTTTCAACATAATCACATTGACTTTTTCGCCATTTAGCACGACGATTTTGAAACCATACCTTGAAATTAAAAAATTAAAAATAAAAGAAAGATAATTAAAATGAAATTCTTTTCTTTTCTTTATTCATTTTTTTTATTTTATCACCTGTACACGTGCTTCAGTTAAATCAATTTTTATTGCTAAATTTTCTCGAGCAAATATATCGGGATAATGACTTTTTTTGAATACTTGTTCAAGTGCTTCTAACTAAAAAATCAATAAAATATTTCAATAGATAGATAATGATAAACATACATATTCAAATGGTACTTGTTTCACTGTAAATGTTGTACGATTTCGTCGTTGTTTTCGTCGATCATTCAATATTTTAGTGCTATTTAATGTATGATTAATACAATACTTTTCATTCATGATTAATTTAGCCTATACAATAAAATAATGCACACCAATATGTTCATCAAAGTTTATAATCTCGTTAACTATATAGTTAAAAAGTTTAAAAAAAAGATCTATATATCAAAATATAGGAATGGAATTAAATATTTTTATTATTTTTTTTATTTTAAAATTAGTAAAAAATCAAAATTCATCCATGTATATTTATACATCGATTGTATGTTGATTAATGAATGTAAAATATAATAAATTATTTTTGAATGAAATATCATTAAAATTCAAGATATTCATTCATTCATATAGTGATATTAAAGCAACGCACTAGTGGTGTAGTGGTATCATGCAAGATTCCCATTCTTGCGACTCGGGTTCGATTCCCGGCTAGTGCATTATTTATTTTTTTCGATTTATAACTAGACAAATATTGGTAATTTGTTTCTCTATAAGCCATATATACCTACTTCAAATACTTGTAAACTTATATAGAAATAAAACTATTTTTGGAATTTAAGGTGTCAATAATACAAAATTAAAGTCAAAAAATTCTTTTTCGTTCTATTATATATGGGTGGGTAGAGCGCATCGAGTTGAGTAAAAAGAAGGGGCTTTTAATTTTTTTAAAAATTCTTTTTGAGAAGAAAAATTGAAAAAACTTAAAGAGTCTAAAACTTCGGAAAACCCTTTAATTTTAAAATAAATCAAATCTTTTTCTTTCTCGTACTTCTAACTTTTGAAAGTATCTTTTTCAGATTAAGCATTGAAAACTGACTGAGTATAAGAATGATGCTTGATCAAGGTTGAGGTCATGACCTTAGCCTTGATCAAGCATCATCCTCATACTCAGTCAGTTTTCAATGCTTAATCTGAAAAAGATGCTTTCAAAAGTTAGAAATACGAGAAAGAAAAAGATTTGATTTATTTTAAAACTAAAGGATTTTCCGAAGTTTTAGACTCTTTAAGTTTTTTCAATTTTTCTTCCTCAAAAATATTCTTAAAAAAATTAAAAACTATTTCTTTTTACCCAGCTCGATGCGTGAAAAACCAGACAAGAGTGTTTTTCCAGCAAAAATACCACAGGATTTTCGAATGTTTCAGAAGTGCTGGGGCAACGGCAAAAATCCGTTTTTCTAATAGGTCACGTCGAGTGCTTGCGAAATATGTGCCATCCTACGTCCTGCAATCCCGTGGAATGGTACAGCTTTGAAACGAGAAAAATTGAACTTTGAAAAACGAGAAAAATCGCCTTTAAAAGTTGTGTTTTTCCATCGTTAGATGGTTTTTAATCTCAACGAGAACTACCGCATCGGATAGAACTTGAAAAGATACGTCGAATGCGTAATCTTGTTGTCGTGTGTTGACATGATTTTGTGGGGAAAATAGGGTTTACAAGAAACAGGCCTACTTTTCGGAAAAAACGATCTTTTGAAAATTCTCCTGTGAACATGCTTCACATTTTGGAACATTTTGCAGCGCTGTACATATAGATTCTAACCTGACGGTACCAACTGATGAAAATGTCTACAAAAGGCATGTTCTGCTGGAAAATGGAATCTCCACAGATCTAGATGACCACCACACAACTGTTGTAAAATCTTTTACACGTAATATTCGACATCAGGAGCTCGAGTTGTACTAGTCTTATTACTCTCGAACTATTGGGATAAAGTCGATGTAAACTCTTGTACGTTTTCAAAAGAACAACCCAAAACGAAAAATAAATTTTACTTTGATTTTACATTATCGGTACCTTAAGTAAAAAAAGTTGTATCAAATTGTCTTACCAAAGAAATATGATGTTTACGGTGATATGAAACTTACCGGGCAATACAATCTTATCAATTAAGTCTTTGAAGATAAAAATAAAATTTGTTTTTTTTGTTTTTTTTATATATTCATATTGTTACTCAACAAATCATTTTAACTTTTATGTCATTCGTTTATTTTTTTTTCTTCTTTTTTATTCTATTCAGTTACTTTTTTGGCATCAAAAAACATTCTTATTTTCTATTATCGGATCTATTTTTTATAATTAGATTATAACTATGAGTATTTCAACACGTTTTAGTAGACAAAATAACGACATAAATTAATCGCATTAGTTTGATTAACTTTACAATCGCAATGGTGGATGTGTGTGTGCGTGTGATAGATAACTAGTCTAATAAAAATTTCATAAGTTAATCAAAAATATATACGGGAGTGAAGAGGAGAAGAAGAAGAAAAAAAAGAATGCTGCTACATCATCTATTTTAATCGATGTATATTATTAATAAATCTTCTATGATGTGTAGAGAAGAAAAACTCTCTAATACACATAATTCAATTGGTAATCATACGCATACCCATATATCCTATCATAAAGAAAAAAAGAAAATTAATCTATGTATAGAGCAAATGGGGAGTAATTTTCATTTTATTTTTAAATATAATTATGTTTAGAATCCTTTCAATGAAAGAAGAAGCGAAGATCGATTATTTAATAATAAGGATGATTTTTTTTTGTTCCTGTTTAGTGTTATATAGATATTAGAGGGGCATATATTCCATCTGAACAATGTTAAACACGAACAACAGAATCATTATAATTACATTAAAATAGAGTTGATTAGCATATTTTAGGTAATAAAAAGAATAACATTAATATTGAAAATCCTTCGTTTTGATACTTTTGCTTTTTAAAAATATCAAATATATGATGATCAAATGAGGCGACAAATACTTGATACTACAAAATGAAGAATGATATTTCTTAGCTCATCACTCACAATTTCCTTGATATGACACGATATGCAAAACTATGGTAATAGACTTCTTTTTTCCTCTCTTTTTTTTTTTTTTGTTAAAAATATACAATATATATATTTTAACTTATTCAATACAAGACCATATCCTTTCTTCTCTTTACAGAATAATAAATGATAAAAAAACACTCAAAACAGAAAATAAAAGAGTAAAAACTGTATAAAAATTCATAAAATTAAGATTAATAAAGAAATTTGTAACAATCAAAGTGACTTTAGAATATTTAAACTATGATTGTTCAATTAAATTTTTAGTTAATTTTTCTCATTTACGATAAATTTTAACAAATCATTTTGTTTTACGACCTTTTTCCATTTGTTTTAAATGACTTTGAATATGATTTTTTAATTCTTCGTCTGTAATCGATATGTCAAATAATGCATTACAGATAGAACATGGTGTGATTTTTTTGTTACTGGTATGTAATATTATTTCTTGTGTTTTCGATGTAGATGATAATATTCCTTGCATATATTTATCATTTGATTTTACCATACTTCTTGTAACAATATGTCGTGTTTGCTGTTCATCGTTATTAGATATTTTTGCATCGATTTTAGTATTCGGATCGATTTTTGTTAGCGGTTTTGGTTCAATACTGTCATTTCGAACAAAACCTGTAATGAAATAGATAAAGAATTTTTTAGAAGTTTTTAATAAAAATTACATGTGAATATCTTATTTTAGTAGAAAATAAAATCTTCTATTCTTGAAACAATAATTAACTTAAAAAAGATTAAAAGATGGCCGTACGAAATATTATCTATTCAACGTATAGCTGCTGATGTGCTAAGTTATTTGCTCAGTGATCATTTTTTTAATGTAATAAACAAGCATCTAGTTCTTTTGGAAATGGATCAATAAATTTGTCTCGACCAATTCACATATTGTTTTAAAATTATTTTTATTTTTTCTTCTTACGCAATGTACATGTACAAGAATATTTTGAATTGTCATTAATAGACTCAAAAAGATGTTGGGATATGACACTTTTCTTGTGAAAAATATTTGAAGTTTATGATTTATTCTCTTCTTGTTCTTTTGCTATCGTAACTATAATTTTACAATTTCATTGAAGTTTTCACGAATATATGCTTATTTATCTTTAATTTTGTTGTTGTTTATTAGTGAAGAAAATCAATAATCAATTCGAAGTGTGTATAACTATATTTTATTCAAGATCTTTGTATAAAAAATTGTTTTGTTTTATCATCAAATGCATATGCATAAGTAACAAAATAGAGCTTCTATAAATGCCTTTTTAAATAGTTTATACATGCTTCACAAAATTTGATCCATTGGAAAAACTCGGGACTTAAATGGTTAAGGCAAAAAATGTGAACTTGCCAAAATATTATGTACCATACACTTTTTTCAATTAAAAACGAATAAAGTCAAACAATTCGTTCTTATTGTCGCTCAGAAGAAAAGTGGAATTATCCAAGTAAAAAGCGGATAAACATAAGCAAAAAATGCATGATGGCGTAAATGAACAGAAAACACTCCTATTCCAGAAAAAAGTGCGAAAACAGTATGAAAATAAGAACATATAGATGAGTACTGAGTGTCAATGAAGGAACTCATACCAAGTTTGTGTGTAATCTAAATAAGTAGAACAATTAACAAAACGAATGGATGAAGAACCAAAATAAGAGTTAAACAAGGAACATTGACCTGCGAATAGACAAGCATCGTCACAGTTTTCGTAATGCCTAACTCAAATCAACAACTCACGTGCTTGTTTGAACCAGAGAGAAAGATGAAGGAGAAGATCACACTCCAGAGGGAATAAATCAGAGTAAGATCCACCAAGAGAAATAAACGCTGATCTATTTGTCAGCCAGTCTTTGATCCGAAACTACAGGCTTGCTGCCAGTGAATATCTCGCAAGTTTGACAAGGAGGGCATCATGCCACATCTTGTCAAACACCGAGACAAAATCAAGAAACAAAGTTAAATCTGGCCGATTGTAAACTATGGATGAGTGAACCTGTTCAATCAATGGCAAGATCCCCGTGTAGAGTCGAAATCGAGACTAGAAACTTATTTATCTATAGTTTTAATTTATGTCTAACTGCATCTTTCATCAAATATTCAAATAAAGCACTAGTAGATAGTTAAGTAGAATAATTATAACCAGTTCGCAAAATTCTTGCGGTATTATGGGCAGATTCACGTCATTTTCATCCAGGAAGAATGAACATAATCGGTCAACGTGCGTGAGGATTAATATGCTGGGATAATTATAGCCAATACAGTTAAAAAGGCTGGAAGAAAGCAAAGCAACATTTTATTTAACGGCAAAGTTTTACTTTTGTAATTTCAAAGTATACCATATTGAAGAGTAAAGTCAGTTTAATTGACTTAAACACTCGCTGATAGAGATCTGCAATCATCCTTTTTTTGCACCTACTTCTCATGTCCTCTAGATGAGAAAAATATTTAGGTGTATATTCATGTTCAGTTAATCCAAAAAAATATCGGTGCTCATACTCATCTCAAAAGTCTCTTTTGCCCATGCACATGCCCAATCCAAACATTTCTGTTCATTCATCAGCGATGCCTCATGGTGCATCGCAAAAGCCATTTACGTTGCTCATGCAGTTTTTTTCTGTTCTTAATAGAGCTGGTGAACTTCCAATAACGTGCCTTACTAATGTGGAGAAATAAGAACAAAGAATTACCCGCACTCATACCTACACCCATCAAAAGTGTTCTGCCCGTGCCTTTGGCTAACCACGAACGTGGGCACGCGCATAAGTAATGGGTATGACCGTAGTTGCCTACTCGCTAGTGAATGTCCACAATTAATGCTTTTGAAACGAAACGTGTGAGGAAAGATTACAGTTCTGTCGCGCACTGGTCGTCTATTTGTGAGTGCTATTTCATTACTCATTGCATCCACTATTGATGAATTTGACCATGGATTTGTCAATATTTTATTTTGTGCCGTTACTGTTGTTTTCGATAGTAAAGGCGATATAACGTAAATTTGTTGGAAATACGGCAGTCACCTAGTTCGTAGACGCAATGTTTTTGATCTTGTCACCGTGTTTAGTGTTGCACGATTTTTGATGAACTTGAACATCCTGTACTTTTTATCGATATAATATCCTAATTATTTGGAAACACTGATGTGTAAAAGAATGGCTCGATCGTATCTCAGCACATTTTAGAGTAGTGAGACTAAAACATGAAACCATTACCAATACGTTTTATTTATATTTACACAATCTCCATTTCTTTGGTATTCTTCCACTTCAACAAAAACTTTTTATTGTTGATTTTTTATCTTTTTTTGCAAATGTATTTACTATTTAAAATGTTGATGGACTCATATAGAGATAATTATGACTGGATGACGCTAAAGTTTTCTGGAAGATATAATAGAAACAAAGTCGACGCTAGACAGCTTCTCTAACGTACTCCTTGTTCAACTATAAATGTGTCGAATTTTTCGTTTCCCATTGATTGTAATATGATCTTTCACTTTCAATACATCCTGATCCATTCACCTGGATAGTTCAGTTAAGCAGGTTTACATGTTAATCCATCGTGTCAAATCTCATCGAACGTTTCCCATAAGTGACAAGTGTTTCTGTGTGTTGCTTTTGGTCGTTCGTACAATATTCTTAAAATTGTACAAAGCTTGCTGTTGTTAATGCTCAGACCTAAGCCCTGATGGTGCGTCCGAAACTATACGTAATAACAACAATAACATTGACAACTGTCGTCTCTTTTTCGCAAGGAAAACATCACTCCAGAACGTTATTATTTTTTTTGAATGATCGTAGAAATATCCTCTGTATAAAAGTTGAAGATACTAGCAAAAAAACAAACAGTTTAACAAAATGGACATTTTTAGTTGAGTCAATACCAGAGAAAAAGTAACAATGAAACTATTCTTTTAATGCTTTAACGTTAGCAAGTGAATTCAGCGGAGAAGCGGTAAAAAATTGAAACGGAGATTTATATTTTAATTTTGAAATAATTGTTCTGGATCCATTATATTTCGATTCATACAATCTACAAGATGTTGCATATAAGCGATTTCGTCCATGGATGGAAATTTTTTAGTACACTGTGGACATACAAATGTTTTATTTTCTGTTTTTAATGATAAACAAGTTTCGACATGTTCATACATTTGTTCATCATTTGTTTCTAACGGAAAAGCGATATTGCATATCGGACATTTTTTCTCATTTTCTTGTTTTGGTTCAACTACTGTTTGGTGTTGTTGATCATGTCTATTCTCAATGGATATTCTCTCTTGTTCATTTGATGATACTGGTTCAAATACTGATTGTGTATTATCGTCTGTTAATAGAGATTCAGTTTTCACTAATTCATTTTCAACCGTTGTTTGTATTGATACTTTTGAATTCATTGATTCAGTTAAGAGTGATGTAAGCGAATGAGTTGGACTTGTACCAGGTGAATGAGGATAATTTATAAATGTTGTTTCTCTTTTATTATTAGGACTATAATTTGGTTGTATTATAGATGATACTAATGATGATGCTTCATCAACTTTAGAATTATCACCAATTGTCTCTTTATTAATATCTCTCGTGGTGGCGACGACAGATGCAAGAAGTGAATTAGATACGATTCCTATAAGAAAGAAAAAAAGAAAGAACATTGTTAAAAAACATGTTTTTAGAATTTGAAAAATGTAGAAGTTAATAACACAAGATATCTCAAAGATGTAAAAAAGTTTAGATATTTTTACTACTACTCGAATATCTTATACGCGAAAATAACTGTAACTAAAACTAACATTTTCTATTACTGCCGTCGCCACCGATATAATGAGAAGAGCTTGAATTATTATTTATGATAAGCAGAAACAAAGACGTATATACTAATTTTGTTTTCAAGAAAAATATTCACTATACCGTTGTTTGTTATAAGAAAAATTAGTTCATTGATTTGATCACGTTGTTTTTGTACTAAATTGTGTAATCGTTCTGATTCATTAATCATAGCAGTTATTTCTTCATCATGTAAACGAGCTTCTTGTGTATCTAAACAAAACAAAAAAGATCAAATTCTCAATTCATTTTTCCTCTAGGAACGTATGTAATCAAATGAAATAGTTCTAATTATTTTATTTTATATTATATTATTATAATATATCTTACCTTTCAATATACTTGGTGCAAAAGATGACAGTTGACTTGATGGTACATTATTCAAATTCATCAATGCTCTTTTTAGCTGACATATTTCAATATGTGATTGTTGTGTATTTTCATTATTCTCTTTTTGTCTTTGATCAATTAACTGATTAATATCATCACTTAATAATTGAATTTCATTTGTTTTTGTTGTTGTATCATTAGACAACGAACTACTGGGTGATGATACGATTGAACGTAATATATCAATTAAACGAATAATTAAAGAACGATCACACTCATAATTATTAATATTTTGATTTTTTAAATCACTTCGATAATGACATAGTGTATTCCATAATGAATCGTACGAATCATTATTATCAATAAAAACATATTCTCGATTTTGATTTGCATAGTTTGTTGTTGTGATATGATTGTTGTCTGATCTTTGATCTACATCTAATAAACCATTATGAGGGTTAATGGAAGTAATAGAAGGATTGATTATTGTAATATCTGAATCATCCTTTAAAAAAAACGAACAAAAATTATGTTTAAATTTATAATACAATAATGAAAAGTTTGTATCTGTGTATATATCTAATTAGAATAAATATTAATTCTAGAAGAGAACTTTTGTAGTTCTCAGATAAGAAATATTGTCAGATTTCAAGTAATTATGACTGAAGTAAAAAACCAATTAACGGTTTTCTTAAAACTAATAATAAATTAAAAATATCTAAAATAAGTTTTCAACTAACCTGACCGACGGATGAATTCAACATAGTAGTCATTTTGTTTTGTCGATTATGTGAGTTGAAAACTGTATAAAAAATAATCTAGAAAAAATGTATGACAATGGGAATAAATGCAAAAGAAAAAAATAAGTGGTGTCACAATTGTGTACATGTTCGCAATAAATTACTGAAAAAAATGAAAAAATGAAAAGTAAAATAAGAAAATTCTCAATGTTAAAGGGAAAATTACATAATTCTGATATTTTTCGCTGTAGCTATGATTTATATAGTATGCAGACGTGTTATTTATATATTTTATTTTTGTCTAATGTTACTTGACATGCCCTGTTCTTTTTATAGCGGTAAATATTATCAGTTTTCTAATGGTTGTACATCAGAAGAAAGGAAAATTATTCAAAGAATTTTGTCAACGTACTAATGAGTAATACGAAAGAATGAAAAAAAACGAAAAAAAATCCCATTTCATTGTATTACTCATAATGGCAATGACTAATGCAAATATCTACATAACTTGGTAATCAGCTGATTAAGGAGTGACTTTAGCTGCGGCCGAAACATACATGGTTAGAGATAGTCGCTAATCTTGATCACGTATCTGAGGATTATATTCCGGAGAAAATATTTCAGATTATCTGCTGTCTTCGCAACGATATCAACATGAACAAATTGCATGAACAAATTGACCGGTCTTTTTTATCGATTGTTAATAGTACGTAAAAATACTACGTATTGGAAGATAAGAAAAAAATGGAGAAATCGTTTTAACGGCATGAGAATATAATCGAATGAGTATTCAGTTTAGTAATTCAGCCAAACGACTTATCTTTAACTCAACAACATTCAATTTGAAATTGGATAAAGGAGAGAGTTGTTTATATATTTAACAACGTTAAAGTTGCGTTGTTCTCTTTTCCTCATTTTTAATTTCTGGTTACGTATTCTTACCTGAATACGTCATCATTATCTTCGTTTTCATCTAATAATAACAAAAAAACAAACGAGATAAGTCGACTCTGGGCATTAGAAAATGAATCTACAACAAAGAGACAACGAAACTCAAAAGCGAATATACGTTTAAAATATACGACATTTTTTAAATAAACGTTTAGAAATATTTTTTAAACGTATAAAATACTAATTAAACGCTTTTATTTTAAAAACTAAGTTAAAATATTTATCAAAACAATGTCTGATTTTGATATGTTTGAGCCATCTACATCTACAAACAACATTACTCTTTCTCCAACAACTGAAAATAAAACGAGCAATTTCGATTTGTTCGATTTTCATGCTGAGGAGAATTCGAATAATCAGCCGGTGAAAACTGAATCACAGACAAACATCAACCAATCGTGGGACTTAGTAAGTAACAGGTATCTTCTATTTTTGGTAGTGTAAGGATAAAATAGTGATTTCAGGATTTTGGTGGTGGACAAGAAACAAAAACATTGACAGCTCCTCAAGATGCTTTGGATAGTACACCTATTGATATGAATTTCTTCAATGATGGTGGCAGTGACAATAACGCCGAGATCAAGACAAATGCAGTTTACAATCCGATTGTCAACAATGAATCAAGCGTATCTAGTTTCACTGACAACAGCCATACTATGAAAGACAATATAGAGAAACAGAATAATGATCTATTCGTCTTAGGAGACAATCAACAATCGAATGTGATAGATTCAACAAACATTGCTAATGATGACTTTCTATCAAATGCTGAAAAGCCAGGTATATGATCAAAGTATGCGCTCACTTTCTGATCTCGGATATTGTTTTCTGGTACTTTTTAGATAAAACTGATTTCACCGAGGGGTCAACGGAACAACAACAACCTATTCTTGTTGACGAACAAGAATATCCATCAAAAGCAGACGATAAACAATCAGTTGTCGATTACTATAATAATGAAACTACAATAACAAATGATCAAACACATTTTACAACTCCCTTACAACAAGAAGAACACTCAACAACATTGTCAAATCCAAATTATGAACAATTTGATGAGGACGAAAGCGCGTCAATATCATTTTCGTCACTTACCATAACCATGGATGAAAAACGTCGATCAGAAATTGCGGAAAAAGATGCAAAAGAAGAGAAACAAATTAATGAATTAAAACAACAAGCTAAAAATGATTTAAATCAATGGTACAATGAAAGAAAAAAACGGACGGATGAAAAACGAAAACAAATAAAAAATGATGAAGAGATTCTTCGAGCTAAAGCAGGCGAAAAAAGTGTAAAACAATCATGCGATTGGGAAAAAGTATTACAACTCGTTGATTTTTCTCCGTCATCATCAATAACAAAATCAAAACGAGATTTATCACGAATGAAATCTATAATGTTGAATGCAAAACAATCCACAAAAATGCCCAATGGAATCTAATATCACTAATTATTTTTGTTTTCTTCATTAGTTTTTCTATTTCTTTTTAAAGGCGATTTTATCTATAGAAAATCAAAAGTGTAGCTAGATTATAGTGATTAAAATGATTTTTATGATGAATAAAGCCAAACGAGCTATGTAAAAAAGTTAGTAGACTTAAACTAAGTCAAACTAGAAGAATGTTTAACCATAATATGCTAATCCTTTGACACACACAAACACATTTTTTCGGTACTTTCTCTTCTCTAATAACTTTTCTTAAAACTAATGGGCTATCAAATCTGATCTAGTTCAAATTCTATACTCTCATTCAAAATAAGTGCATGAAAAAGCGTAGAAGGTTTGATAAAATAAAAATTTATTTTAGGGCAAATAAAAAAATAAGTGGTATATCAAATTAAAATTACAAACTTCAATTGAATTCACAATGACGAAACAGGCCAATAGGTTTTAAGATAACGTAAAACAATCCCTTTTTCTTGTTGAGTACAAACACGTTACGCTTGTATTCGTCTAACCAATTATGATAATGAGTGAAATTGTTGAATTGCCGCGCGAAACTCTTGTCTTGTCGCAAATAGTTTTAATAAATCAGCAAAACTTGGTCGCATATGTGCATCCTGAGCCCAACAACGATACATAATATTATAAATTGCCCTACTGCAGCCTTTAGGAGGAGGAAGACGGCCACCTCGTTGGATAAAATCACATAACTAAAAAATCAAAAACAGAAGTAATTATTTAATAATAAAATAAAATTATTCTATCTACAACCTCATTATATTCCATTGTTTCATACGGGTATTGACCATGTGTATAAATTTCCCACATTGTAATACCAAATGACCATACGTCACTTTTACTTGTAAATTTGTATTCAAATAATGATTCTGGTGCATACCTAAATTGAAATGAGTTTATAGTACTTGTTCAAATGTATCTTCAAATTTAGACTTACCAGGCAATCGGTATTGGAGTATCACTTCGTTGAATGTAATAATCATTGTTGGATGTTCTTCGCGAAAGACCAAAATCAGAAATTTTTACTCGTATCTGGGATTGCATAAGTATATTTCGAGCAGCCAAATCGCGATGTACAAAATGTTTTTTCTCCATATAAGCCATACCTAAATAAAAGACGGTTACTTGTATTTACAATTTAAAAAAATAAAATATTTGACCTGTTTTTATTCGAAACATATTATGGCAATGTCTGGAATATTGGCATCACACCACTTAGCTTCTCAAAATTTGAACAAGTTTTTAACATCTGTCGTATGTCTTAGAAGCATCAAGAATTTTTTCTATTAAACTTCAAATAAACATAAAAACTATCACAAATGTCTATCATGAATATCAGACATTCATACTATTATACTCTCCTTCTTGTGCAACATAGTAATAAAGCAAAAACAAAATAAAAATTGTGTTGTCTAAAAACTCCTAAGCAAAGTTGTTAAACTTGCTCTTTTATCAAAATCCGCCAGCACCAAAAAAATTTTCTGAATCCGTCACTGAGTCATGTTTAAAATTGAAACAAAGTTTTTATCTACGAAATATTGAAATTTCAAATTAATTATGATGATATTTTAGTATTTTTTGTGTTTCCAATGAACGAATGGCCCATAAGGAATTGTGCTATTAGTATTTTCAAAATGTATTGACTGTTTTTTTATTGCAAAATCTGAAGGTGTAAAATGTCATGAGAAAATGTAAGAAGTACAAAAATATAGAAAAAATAAACGGATTTTCTCAAAGAGAGCAGAATTGTTTTTGAATGGTTTCACAAGCATTAAAACAATTTCTCATGGCATTTTACACCTTCAGATTTTGCAATAAAACAGTCAATACTTTTTTTGTAGAGAATTCAATGGGAAATCTTTTGGTAAAAAAACGAGCTCAATCAAGTGTAAAGAGGAGAAGAAATTTGAAAATACTCATAGCGCAATTCTTTATGGGTCACTCGTTAGATCACTGATATAAAAAAACATCCTTATCGATTAAAGCTAGCCAGATATGTATGAAAATATTTGCTTTTTTTGCTTCGGTGTAAAAAGAATGCTCAAAAAAAAGTTAAGTAGCACAAAACTCGCAGTAATTATCAAAATTCATTGAAAATCCTTTGAAGAAAAACTTTGTTTTCTCACACCGTTACTTCCAAAAAGTTTGGTGTAGTTTTAAGGATAACTAGAATGTAACTTACATTTTTTAAGTAACAGAATAATACATATATCTGATTGTGTTGTGTTGTCGGAACGCAAGATAAAAATTCTTTTTAAGAAACTAAATGATGGAATATATACTCCAGACAACATTCTAACCTGTTTCTGATAAAAAACCTTCAGTATTTTGAGTCAAAAATGCAATAAACCCATTCTCGTCCATTCTTCATCAAAATATTCTATACATGAGCAAACGAATTACCGTGATTAATCTGAGTGATCCATGAACTGAATAATGATCGAACAGCACCTCCCGGATGTTTATATAAATAATCAAGCATTGAACCCATTGAAAGAAGTTCTTGAACCTATTGACAAAAAAAATGTACGAGAAATTAACAATGAAACAAAATGATTTAAACGTTGATACCATGCAGACGATGTTAGTTAGTTAAAAATAGCCAGCCAATAACCAAGCAATATTGAACATATATTTCCTAAAAATAAGATTTATTATCTTTAATAAAAGCATTTCTTAGCGTTATTTTCGTTCATATTTTTGTTGCTTTAAATTTTCGCACATACCATAAGAAGACAACCAAGTCTCTTGGAATTAGCAATACCATACAAACGTACAATGCATGGATGCATTAATTCTTTCATAACATATGCTTCTTTTTTCATTTCTTCAAGCGCTTTCATATCCATCGTACCTTTAAGTGCTTTGATGGCAACAGGAACCTATATGATACGTCTGTTAATGAGATATTTTACTTGAAAAGAATAGAAAGTTCTATACTTACAACTTTGCCATGTTGCTCATGATAAGTTCCCTCGTATACTTTACCAAAATTTCCTTCGCCAAGTAATTTTCCGTAAGTCAGTTGTTCATCTTGAATAACCACAACTTTTTTGTTGATCAATGGATTTACTAAGTGTTCCTCTAGAAAATATCAAAGAGATATTAAGTATAATGTTATGTTGAAATGAATCACAATACCTATGGTATTTATCAATTTGCGTTTATTATGTACATTATGAGAAGATTTTTTCATGAACGGAACTGCTTCTAGAACGAGCAAATCTTTTACTTAAGCTACTTATTTCTTGAACAATAAATACGAAACCTTTTGATGCGGATGGAAGGTCACCGTTCATTGGGACCAAATCATGTGATGAAGAAAACTTTGCATGTTTATTCGTCGATGAGGAATGATGAAGAGTTGGTGGTGAACCACTGTTCGGAATGGTAGTGACATTGTACGCCATCTTCGCTAACTCTAAAAAAAACAAAAAATAAATAAAAATTTTCTGTAATATACAGTTTAACGAGACATATTTACGTACTGTGAAAAGAGAATATTTTGGTGTTCAAAAAAAGTAGCTAGACTTTTACTATAACAGTTATTAACAGAACTACAAATTCGTACCTGGAGATAATGGTTTAACAATATGTTTGTGTACTTTCATGAAAAAATCGACGGCATGTTCGAGACTATCATGAAAATGTAATTGATCATCGAAATAATAAGAATGATTGTCCTAAAAGAACAACATATGATCAATTTAAAAAAGAACGAGGAAAATGTAAAAGTAGAAAGTTGACGCTCACTTTTTTATGTAATTTTACGTGTACTAAATTATTTCTCCATACAAGAGAAATAGCATAATTATTTGGTACACTTGAACTTTGTCGTACAAAAAAGTAGCCATCTTTTTTCTTAAAATAATTTAGTATTGCTCGCATTTGCTAAAGAAAACATATAAGAATAGTATCAAAATTTGCTTTATTTCAATCAAAAATTTGTTTCAAAATATTTTACTCTATTTGTCAAGAAACCATGATAATACATCGAACGACGTGATAATGCAGGTTTGGATCGTAGAGTACCTGTATAAAAAGAAAACAAAAAAATCAATAATTTTCATACCAAAAAACAATAATAGAAAGCTACTTACCAAGTTTTGTAATACACTCGCGTGCGCCATGTTTAACTGCTAGATCATATGGTGTTTCTAAATTTTCTGTTAATGGTCGTACCGGTGAATTGTGGGCAAATAAAGTCTAAGAGATAATTAGAAAAAATCATATTAATGGAGAAGAAAATGCTATCAATTTTCTTTTACTGTGACGGATTCTATAAAATTACATGCAGCAGCACAATGTATAGGTGCGAATGAATTGGATGAATTTCGACAATCGACATCAGCATGTCCACGTGTAACAAGTAAATCAATGATTGTTGGACAGTTGCCACGTGCTGCTTGCTAAAACATAAATTTTAAATACTAATTCTCTTTCTTCACTCTTTCTCTTGGAGATATTAATTATACAAACATGCAGTGACGTCCAACCGAGTCTATTAACAAATTTCCAGCTGGCACCAGCGTTTAATAATTCTTTAACAGCATCTTCGCGTCCAAAAAATGATGCTTCATGCAACGGTGTATTACCTATAAAAAAATATACAAATCAAAAATATCATCCATCAATTTATCTTTCTGTTCTGTAACCTTCTTCATTTTTTGAATGAATATCTGGACGAAGTGGATCATTTAAGATCTGTATGATAATATCTCGTTGGCCTTTGAAATGAAAATCCAACTATCATCTGACTTTTTTGCATATTTGTCTAGCAATAATTTACCTTCTGTTGCCGCTTGATGTAAAAGAGTAGAATGACCGTATTTTTGAGCGAATGGCGGTAGCGGTTGTCCACGCACCGGAGTACTCAACGAACATTTTAAATGCTTCGAGCCATCATTTTGATAATATTCAACTAATTCTTCGAGAGCTGAAATAACAACAACAGTATGAATTTAAAATACATCCTGTATCATAATAAAGAACACTAGATTCCAAAGTAGCTTTTCAAAGTTTCATTATCTTATCAAACAATATGTTTTATCTTTTTTTCTAACTGAATTTTAAACATTTTGATTAACTTAGATTTAACGTACAAAAAAAAATTGAATCTGTTTTTTCATCTAAAAATGTTCCATTTCCCTTATGATGACATAGATAATGATAACATTGTCCGTCTTTAATTAAAGATAACACAAATTTGTTTTCATCATTTCTCGACTGTCTCAATAAATAGATGCCATTTTTATTGTGATCTAAAAAAAAAGGATGTAAAATTAAGTAATCTATTTGAAATTTTGTTTAAATGCACATACTTGCACTATAATTTTCTTTCAAAATTTTTTCACTTGCTTCTCGATCACATGCACCATGAAAACATAGCATACTCTCACGAATTGCTGAACGCTGTTGTTGTTGATCGACTTTCAATAATGCTCGAAGATTGGTATCTAAATAAAAATAAAGATTTCTATTATTTAGCACAGAAAACATCTTATATATTACCTTTGAGTAATTCACGAACACTATTTCCATTGTCTGCCATAAATACCGTTAATAGCCCTCTCTAAAACTCGAGCCTCCAATGTGTTAATAAATTAGACTGTTAGGAAAGATTACTTTCTGAAAAGATAAATTACTGTGTCAAAATATGCGATAAAAGTTCAAACATTTTACGACTTATTAGCGAAATAAAACTTATCAACAAGAAAAGAGCTAATTTTTGCTGATTTATCAAAAAAGAACTTCAGTGTGGAAAAAAGGATCATTATGTCTTCAATTTTCTTTCTATCGGCTAGTAATAGACGTTTTTAAGAAATACAAATCTTCCTCAGAACGCCAAATGACAATAAATGTAAACCGATGAAATGCAAACATGTGATAAAAAATAAAAAACAAATCTGGACTCAAAAATTGTCCTACATCAGTAGATCGAAGATCCACACTGCTTGGTAAAGAAAAGAATTCGTCGTTTTTACGATGAATTCCATATTAGACAGAAAAATTCACACCAAAAAAACATGAATTAATGATTAATAAAGTCCGAGTGACTAGAAAAGTGTAACGGTAATAATGAACTTATTATCTAACCTTTGACTGTTAGAAAGTATATCCGATTGATCAAGTATTTTCATATAAAATAAACACACTGATTGTTATCTTGCTTCGCTTATTACTGTTACAGGCTCGCAAGACCGGTCCTCTAATTGTTTCATCATCCACACTGTTTTAATACGTTTTATAGTTGAACCTTTTTGTAAAATAAGGTCGGATGATGTTTCATTAAATTGTTTATTAGCCAAAAGATTTTCTATAAAATGTCGATTATTTTCGAATAATTTCGAAGTCACATTTAAACGTACACGTGGAGTTGTTTCGTTAAAACCACATTTTTTATAAAAATGACATTGATCGGTCGTGGTCAAATATAGTGCCTTATCTGCTATTCCAAAACTTTTATCATTTACTAATTCAGATTCAATTAACGACATTAATATTTGACCATAACCTTGGCCACGTAGTTTTCGTTGAATCACAACAGATTCAATAATCAAACTCAATGAATTTTGTGTACCATCGTATAAACGATCAACATAACAATATCCGATAACTTCGTTGTTATCAAACGAATTTTGTTGCGTATTAACTACCACAAGAACATACGAAGTAGGTAGTGTATCACACGATTTTTCAAAACGTCTCAAACGTACTGCGCGGGATTGTGGCCACTCTTCGTTTAAAATTTCAAACGCTTTTTCTTGATACTGTAGATAACGATGTAACGGTAATAAACGAAGACAAGTTCGATCTATTAAAGCATCGCTTGTATTGGTACACTGCATTTTATTGATATGAATATCACAAACCGTCAAGCCTATCAAAAAAATATTTTCTTTTTCGTCATATGTTTTCGTGCTTTCGTCTAGTCTGTTTTGATAGGTAGACGCCATTTTTTAACGAAGAGCAAGAAACTCTATACAAATTAAACATATCACATAGTTGTCAGTATTTCCCGAGTAAGTAAAAATAATTACTCATCAATAAACAGTCCAAAAACGTTCACAACTGATAATTTTCTTTTTGAAGATCATCGCAACAACGCATTCCTGTTCTTGTGAAGAGGAAAAAACTTTCTTCTGCATTTTTGAACCAATTAAACATCAACGATGATTTGACTAGGCAACTTACTGTTTTTGCGGCAAGTTCAGAATATTAATGAAGTTTTGATGGTTCACTTAATACAAGAAAACACACTAGCCTTTGCTGTTACATTCGAATCTTCCTTATAAATTGGTCATATCCACTCAAGTGAAGTTCATCACAGTACTATTTTCATTAAAGGCCGTCAGTATCATGAAGAACAGATTACTCGACGATAATATAATCTCTGTTGTCCTTATTTATTCTGAGCTTAAATCAAACTTCCTATTTTCATAAAACTAATAAAACTAATATAGCTACTGTCGAAAAAATGCATCTTTTGTTGAAAAAAGGTAACTAAACAAGCTTCACAGCGAAGAAACATTTGCATCATATCTTGTTCGCCATTTTAAATTAAATAAACTCGACGATCGATCAAAAGAAAAGAAAATTTTTTGTTATTTTTACAAAAGCACCTTTATCATTAAATTATCCTGTTTTAGATCAACAATAACAGTCAGTAACAATTCTTATATTTAATTGTCAATTAGTGCCAACGTTTGAAAATATAATGGCAAATTGACTGATGTTTAAATATCCACAAGAGCTCACTTATTTAAAATCTTACTTCACAACCCAGTTTGAACCTTCTGCATAAAAAATACATTAACTACGAAATAAATAATGATATCATGAGTGTCATGCATCGATTAGCACTTAGTACTTAACTATTGATAAATAATCTAGATTATGTATTTTATATCCGATTTCGTTAGAATACACCTAATTATTTGAAAAGAAATCGAAAAATTATTATCTAATAGTTCATGGATGAGACATTGTGAAAATTTGATAACTAACACAATTCTATTGGAATTGTGCTTATTCTTTTCAGTTTTGAATATGGAAAACGTTTAATATCACTAATGTATGTAGTAGGCACGCATCGATTTCGGTTATTAACCGAAACCGATGGATGCTCACTTAAAACTGAGCACATTATAAAATTTCTTCGGTTAGTTCGGTTTCGGTTTAACCGAACCGATGGACACCTAGTATGTAGCTTGTTAAATTGTCCTTTGTCATCCAGAAAACCTGTCAAAAGTGAGGAAGAGTTTGTTGTTGTAAAAACAAGTAGTTTGTCCCATGTACTTCATTTGTTTTTAACTAAATGTATCGAAAGTTTTATTTTTATTGTGTACAATGGATGTAGGATAAAAAACCAAGAAAAATCATAACGATTACATGAAATAAATCTCGATCAAATCAAGAAGAGAAAGCAGTCCCATTAACAACAACAACAAATAAGAAAAGAATGAAACAAATTTTATTACAAAAAAAAGAGAACAAGAACAACAATACGAAATTCTCCCCCATCTACGTACAGAATCGTATAAAATATAAAACAGCGTAGATTCTTATCGCATGATTTGGATTACTGTTAGGCAGTTGTTCCTGTCGTTACTGAGGGCCTTTTTATGTAACACCTTCTGAAATATTAAGAAAATCCTATCTGCCCTGATTGATTTCACGTCGACTGCAAAGAAAAACATTACTGGGACTTTGTTTTTTTGCAAAAAAAATGAAAAGTATCGACAGCTTTAATTACGGAAAAGCAATGTCAAAGTATTGACATTTCTCTAGTTAACTGTCTTGTGTCAAACTACAAACGCAGCACACAAAAGCTTATTCTCAAATTAGACATGCACAAAAAGAACCGCGATTGTGAGATTTTAAAAACAAATGAAAAAAATTCTTTATTGAGCATAAAAAAACGCATTTACAAGAATGAAATCAAAAAAGCATGCTTTTAAACATAAACAACTCGTCTCGTTCATACTCACCTATATACACGCTTGAAACGAAAAAATTTAACAAACATATTTGTGCACATGGGTTACTCATTTTTAAAACACTCAGAAAGTGACACACAAAGAGAGATCAATTGCACTTTTCCTTGTTGTTCGTTATTATCAATGTAGTTTCAGTCTAGAAGATAGAATAAAAGTAATCGTTAATCAGTCTAGTTGATAGAGGTACTTCGTTTCCCAAGCTGCAAGAGCATCAAATATGGACACATGGATTAGAGATGAATATGGTACTAATACTACATGGTAATAACAATTTTGAAGAAAATAATACATACATTAATTCTCATTTCCATTTTCATTAATCATCGTATCCTTCAATTGTTCTTGCTGATTTTGTTGTTCAATTGTTGTAGTCGCCGACGAAATATCATTTAATTTCGTTGCTGTTACTGCTAGTTGCGTTGTTTCATCAGATTCGGATTCTTCTTCTGCACCTTCCAACCACTTTATCCACTGATTCACTTGAAATAAAGCTTTGCCTTTCTCTGGATAATCATCGTTAATATCTTCTTTCCATTTGTAATAAGCATCCTCTTCAATAATATCAAAATCATATGAATACTTAAATAATCTTAACAATAATTCTTTAGGGAATTGTTTTTTATATGCTAATAATTGTAATGCATATAATGCCTCAACTTGTTGATCAATAGTCGTGATATATTTTTGTAAACATTGACGATATTTTTCTATTTCTTGCTTTTCCTTTACTACCGTCTGTTTATCTGGTCGTTGTTGGATATTTGTAGTTTGTATTGTTGTACAATCAATAGCTGCTTCACAGATACATGTGATGAGAGTTTGGATAAATTTTTTATCTTGCTTGTTATAATTTATTGTCTGTTCATCAATAAATGTTTCTAAGTCACTATTTGTGATATTTGAATGCAATTGTTCAGTGAGCTTACAACGAAATTTTAAATATGGACATAAATACGCTAAACGTCGATCTTCTAAAACATTTAATAACAAGTCATCTTTTCTATCACCAAGTGGTAACATATCACTCATATTAATTTTAGATTTTTCTAATAAATTATACATATACACCTCATTATTATTATAAATATCTTGTAATTGTTGTAAAACTAATAAAAATAACGGATGATATTGGCCATCCTTTAGTATTTTACATAAATCAGTCAGTGATAAAAGACAATTCGATGATGATGTCTGTTTTTTTGGCGGTGGTAGCTGTTTCTCATCTAAACTTGATGAAATTAATTTTGCTAAAATAAATGAAAATTCTGATTTAAATAATGGGATATCTTTTTCATGATCATTTATTTTTAGTAATATATTCGATATGACAAGGATGCATTGTTCATTTATAAATAAACCATTTTTATACAATTCTTGTAATAATTTACATAATGAGTCGATGTTTCTATTATGATTATAGACAGATTTAATCAATATATATTCTCCAAATTCAATTGTTTGTCTTTTCGATAATTTTAAACAACGTATTTCTTGAATAAGTACTTCAATATCATTTACACTAGTTAAAAATGTGTCGTATTTTTCATGTAATTCATCTAATGACAATGAATTGGCAGAAACTCCGGAGACATTCTGCAGTTGAGATGTTACTACTGTTGGTGGTATTGATGTTTTTATCAGTGATGATAAATTACTTTGTTGTTTTGTCAACGGATGGTTATCAACGATATCAGTATTATAATAAGTGTTAGATATTTGTGTTCGATTAGTTTGAGGTGCTTGTTGTTTTTCCATTTGGATGGGAATCATTTGAGATGCTTCGCGATCTGTAGGTAACCAAGATTTAGTTCGACTTTGCGGCCGTGGGGCAGAACTGCGAGGTGTAGGTGTAAATGACGTTGGCCCATTTAATGTCAAAGGAGGACGTATAAATGGTTTCGGTTGAGAGACTGTTTTATTGTCATCATCACCAAACGAACCATTCACAACTGTTACTGTTGGTTTAGGTAGGGGCGGTGTTGTCGAGGGTGATGGACGTTTGTCACCATTAGTCTGTTCAAGGGATGTTTTTAATTTATTATCGCTTAAAATAGTTGGCGACGTACGATGATTGTTGGTAGTATTATTATTAGTTTCAAACGGATTCATGAGATTGAAGTTTGAATTATTCTTATATGTTGTTTGTTGTCCTCTTGTCTTTGGAGACGTGGAGGAGGCTACTGACGGCTGTGAAGAACGAAAATAAGACGATGAGGGCTGTCTTTGTTGTTGTTGATAATGTGAAGACTGTTGTTGATTACCTAGAACAAAACAAAAATGACGTTGAGTGTAATAATCACTAAAAAGACAATAACTTCGTAATACGAAGTTGCAGAATCTGTCTGTTTGCTCCGACGGTTGTCAGGGGAATACTTATTGATTTTGGAAAATTTTTTGAAAAATTGGAACATCTTTTTGTAAATATATTGCAAAAAGAAATTCTATTAGTGGATTATATCGGAGAAGTTTTTCAAAAACTTTTCTGTCTAGGGAAATTTTCTAATCTCACGGGTAGATTCTGCACCTCTGCTCATATTTTGAAAGTATTCTCGAGTGGAAAAGTTTAACACCATTATGTGAAAGAACAAATTTTTCTCAATTTTTTTTAGTACTGATTCATCCCAAGAAACATTAACATAGAGAAAAAAGCGAACACTAATTTTAAATTACCTGTTAATAATGGATTTAAACGTTCAAACTGGAATCGATCAGATGATAATGGAACATTTGTAGCACCAATTCCAGTGCTTACAGCTCCTGTTGTCAAGCGTGCAGGTGCTATTGGGCGCTGTGTGGAAGTATTTTGAGTCATGTTCGACCAAGTTGCATCATATTGGCGTTGATTTTGTATTTGTCGAGGAAATGATGGTCGCATCGGTCTGTTTCCCATTTGATACATCATATCGGATGGAGGCTGAAATTTTTGCGCATATGGATAAGGAAAGATCGGTTGTTGTTGCTGTATGTGTTGTTTTTGTATATTTGTTGATTCTTCAATGTTTAATTTTGTTTCGTTTTCTCTTTGTGCAAATCGTGGTATCCAATTATTCTCGCGTAATTCGATAACATCTTGCAATATATATCTTATTCGAGACGGTAAATCTTTATTTGCTTGAAATTTTTTAATACGTTCTATATATTGGTCCATTAAATTTTTTGCTTGTTCGTTGTCCAATTTTTTACCGATCGTTTGCATTATTTTTGTTAAACATTCTAAGTCTTCACATTTTTCATTTAAACTTTCATTATTACCACTTTTTAATAATGTTTTAATGCATTTGTGCAATATCGCTTCAGAAACCAAATTTAATTTACCTAATTCACCAATAAATTTAATATTTCCAACAGCTTTTTTCTTTGCCTGTATACGTAGTTCACTAGCTGTCAATGCTGGTTGTTGTTGATGGTCAGATTGTTGTTGTTGTTCTTCGTATTCAACAAATTCATTGCCGTTCTGTACTGGTGTTTTAGCACGATTCTCGAATTCATATTCGCATTTTGCTAACAGAAGACGGCGAAATGTTTTGATTGCTGATCCGGCTGGTTCAAAATTTGGTGCATCTTTATCCAATCGAAGACATAATTCAGCATATAATCCACAATAATTTGGCTCAGCTAGAGATTTTTCAAATATTAATAAAATTATGCCTTTTAATCTAAAATATTGAAAAATTGATATAATTTGATGTTCGAAAGTAACTATCTAAAGAACTTACACATTCGGTGAATCGATCCCAATATTCAACAGATCAAAACTTAATTTCTCGAATTTTTCCGGTGTTAATTTATTTAATAAACCACGGCAACGACGAAACAAATCATTGTGTCGATCTTCTTGTGTTTTTTGAGCGTCACAATAACGAACAGAACTTGGAGCTATCCACTTTGAATTTTTTTTATTGCTGACTGAATTATCAGTAGTCGCAGCGACAACTGCAACAGGAATTTGTTGTTGTTGATCGTTCGATCCGGCAGCAGTTGGATTAATTGGTGTTAAAACTTGTTTCTGAACGTCCAGATTTATTTGATTATATTGATTAAAATTTGACACTTTTTTTAGAGAAAATATTTTTAATGAAAATAAATAAATTGTGAGTAAGATGAATGCGCTACAAACCACAAATTTCTTTTACATGCAATAGAAAAAACAGGATATTTCAATTCTAAAAATAGAATAAAAAATAGATTGTCAGAAGAATATTCTATTACAGAAAAATGATCAATGAAAATATCACTCTAAGCTATGGCAGCTACCTTGAATTATTTAGATGAATGAATTACTTTATATCATTGAAAGAGACATTTCTAATTGCAAAATATATGTAGAACATTCTAGATTCAGTATAAGTTTTCAGAAAATTATGCTACTTAACGATATCTCCGACAAGCTTGTTTGCCTCTTCACTGCACTCATTAAAACTACGTTTCTTTCTCAGCGGCTCGTTAATTATATCAGTTAGTTTGTTTATTTATTCGACCAATCATTATTTCTTCCTTAATGAATGGTCTATAGGATTGATCAATAAATGCGTCCTACACTATCCTCTTAATTTTACCACTTTTAGTCAGTCTATAACGTACCGCCCTCTATCCCTTTCAAAAAACGTTAATAGCTCTACAACTTGTAAATTCTACGTGAATATCGGTTCTGAAAATATAAGAATTTCATGGCATGCAGCATTTCCCCCCTTAGTTGTGACCATCTAGAGGTTTCACGCGAATATAAGTTTTCTTAAAATGAACTAAGAAATAAAATGCATATAGGAGGAGAAAATGGTCTTGCTAACTGTATTGATATTCTTTTCATGTTCCTCTGATTTTATACAAGATATTAACGGTTTGAAGACTAACCAGCGCCCTTTCTGACAACTAAATATTTAAAATTACTTAGTTTTTCTGAATAAACTAAGAAAAATTATAAGAAAAAATAAATTTGGTGATGCTGATTAAAATCAATAAATTATTTTCCATATCGTAGCGAATAAGTCGTGAAAACAATACACCTCGCCATCTGTACTTTTACAAATATAGAAGTGGAATTAATCATCATTTTATAAAGTTTATTCTGTTCAAGTTCTTCTGCGTTCGAACAATCTGCCAACAGTTCTTAATTAGCACTAAACGGCTTACACATTAGTGTATCTGAAGGAAATATACATCGAATACAGATCTTCAAACAATCTGTAACATTAATACCAGTATACATCAGGGTGCCCAAATCCAGTGTTTCGAAATCAAGAGTTTTTCATAAAAAATCAGAAGTTGATCAGGAGAAAAACAGGAGAGTATCAGACAGTTTGTTCTTGGACAGTCAAAACAAAAAAATCGAATGACTTTTTCAAAAACATAGTTTTTTCAAATATTTTTTGATGAAACAGTATTATCATTTGTTACAGGCTGCAGTGCGGATTGAGGAAGAGGATTTTGATCCGATGGATTTGAAAGTTCACTAATCTCATCTTCTTGGGATGGAAACATTGGATAAGCATACAGCAGACTCTTTCAATGTACAATCATTTAGACTTTTGATTCAGAAATTCTGTTTCTGAAACTGATCATCTCAGTTTTGGACAAAATAAAATCGATGCAGGGAAACAATTGAAAATCAGGAGTCTCCTGGTCAGAAGATTTAGGCACTCTGATATATAGGCGTAGTTGGGCTCTGTAAAAGATAATACTTGTTTCTGTTTTGCAATTGTTGGTTAATGATGTGTTGTTGGTGGTATTAGTGTGCGTTAAAGTAAAGTCATAATTGAAATCAATAATTGACTTTTTTTTGTTTCTGATGGTAAATAAAACAATCTGTCGGGCTAGTGTCTTCTTCAAATCAAACTATACTTAACAGAAATCTTAAAAAATCAATCTTCCAAGCGTTGTATGTCTTCTTACTTTAACAATAAGAACAAATACGACGATCATGATAACAATAACGGATCAAAATATTCCAGTTTGATACAAAAAAGAACAATCGGAACAAAACAAATTGGGAAAAATTTATTCATCATGACATAAGAAGGGAGAACAGGGAAATTTCGGTACAAATTATTTTTGGGATGAAAAGATGTACACGTTTCTCTAAAAGGCGAACTTGTGTACAATTAAGCTCATTTTCTTGGGTAATGCTCTACGTGGGCGTATATTATGCAATTTATGCTTGTAATTGCGAAAATTTTGCAAATTGTTCCAGATGTTTTACCTGTACAACAAAAGGAACTTTATCAACACGTCAGTAATGTAAGATTTTACGAATTGACTCATTGGAATGTTCCTTTTTCATTTTTTCTTTAAATTTGAGACAATTTTAAACATTTTGAAAAGTATTCACGAATACAAGCGTCAATTTTTATTGCGTACAAAATTATCGAACATTCGTGATTGGATCTCGAATTGGCACTTTTTTTTTAATGGCATTTCTGCCTATAGTAGGATTCACTTGGTATTCAACAACAGCAGTGAGTGAACATAAATTTCTTTTTTTTCTTTTTGATTTTTTTCTCTATGAAAACAAAATCTATAATGGAATCATAAGAAACTTAGATCTTGTCTACAAAACAATTTCTCACACGCAGGGCTGAGTTACGAAGGCGAAGCGCCATCACTACTAAACTTAAATCAGCAATTCTATTTAGCTTTACTCTTTTCAAGGTTATTGTTCCAATTCTGCATAGCTGCTGTAAATAACAGGCTATGTGCGCAGGTTAGGTCAATCGTTATTCTTAACACGACAAGGTATGTTGAACTAATGTGTCTTAAATTCGCCCAATGAACATCCTTAAGTCGAACTTACTATTCTGTAGCGTAGTGTATCACATGTTAATACTCTTGTCCTATTTCAAGCAAGAGTCTTGAATCTTGTAAATTCAGACAAGATTCTTGTTAGACTAAATAAATATAAAGACTCTTGTCGGAAGGACAGTCTTGGCAGTTCAGACAAGAGCCATGTGGTCGATTCTTGGCAAGAGTCAAGACTTGTGCATTCAGAAAAGATTCTTCTCTTGTGAACCCGGTATGACTCTTGCGTTTTTCATTCTTGTAGAATTTCTGCATGTTTATATGAAGTTGAATTAAACATTTATTACAATAGTTTTATAAAAATACTTTCTAACAAGAAAGAAATAAGAACGGCATATCTAGCTGTAGAAAAACACTTAACAAAAAGTAATAAACAAAAGAAAAATAATTTTTTGCATAGTTTACACGCAGGTAATCAAGTAAAATAAACATACAAACGTCACAAATAGTAACATTATTGAATTGTTCTGATTCACCGTCATCAAAAACTAAAAATCAGTCTTGTTTAATTTAGCTAACTAAAGTCTCCATGTGTATCATCCTGAAATAGAAAAAGACTTACTTTCAATTAATATTCGTCCTCATCTAATCCGCGCCCATCTCGTTGCTCAGTTTGTTGCTGTTCATTATCATTTTCATAACCTTGATCGATCAATCCATTCTGCGCTGTTTCACGAACACCACGTAGCCGAGTCGCTCGACGACGAGCTGCCGAAGAAAATAAAAGAGTCCGGTCTGAAATGCAAGAGTTAAGACTCTTGCCTGAAATAGGACAAGAGTGCTGACGTGTGTATAGATCAGACACCCAAGGTCTGAAACTAGCTTGTTCCCTTGACTTTAGTCTACGGTTTTACAAAACGGTTGTCTGTGTGTGTGTGCGCAAAATACGGAAAATAGCTGTCAGATATTCTATGGATAAGCCAATCATAAGCGAGAAGCATAAAAAATTTCTTTTTAACCCCGAGAGAAAATATTCAAAGCGATGATCTGAGATACACTGATGTAGAGCGAAAAAAACTAAGCAAACGTTTCCTGTAGGCCGGAGATAGATGTCGCCGGATACCAGTCAACTATGATAATACAGAAAAAGTCGCCTACGAATAATAAAACTTACAGTTCGGTTTTTCCGAGGAAATCAGAGAAGTTCAAAGTGTTTCTCAGCTATACTGGCTGCGAACGTCGACTGAAGGGAGCATTGTTTTGAATTCAGAAATATTTTTGGACTATTGGGGTTTCATGCCTTTTATATTTATGTTAGATTACAAATCTTACACATGAAAACAGAAAAAACTCAAGAAGGTGGCTCAACTAGGCTCTCAGCGAGCGCCGGCCGAAGGGCTGCGTGAGCATTGTCTTCGAATGAAAATGTCACGAAAGAGCGTTCACTCAGATCCGGGTTATTAACGTCAAGGGACCGAGCGAGTGGAGACCAGCGTTACCTTGTGGAATATTACATGGTGAAAGATTCTTCTTTATCTTTCATGTACAGTTGAAGTGAAGAAATATCAACCAATACAAAAATCTGTAATTAACTATGCAATAACTATCCACAACATGCCTAGCAGAAGGAGGATTAGAGGTTTATTTTACTGGATAGAAGCATACCCAATGACTGGGTACTGCTGTTTTTGAGTGTTTTCAGTGCGCTTGGTTCAATGCGGTTGGTTCAATCACAAGATCAGAGTTGCCAGATGGTTCACATTTTGCTGAGAAATTCCGGTATTTTTTTCTGCAATTTTTCCGCTATCTACTATTTGTTCGCATTTTAAACATTTTCTGCTTTAGCTGTTTTGTCCTTAAGTTAAAAAGTCACTTAAACTCATTTTTATCATGCATTGAAATTTGTAATTATTTCTTATCAAGACTAAGACTGTATTCGCGAAAAGTGAGAGTCATCGAAGGTAACCAATCTGTAATAACAATGACTCAAACCAAACAATACTAAAAGAGTAATAAAATCAACGTGAGATCTGCTTAAAGTTATTGATTCTAATCAAAAATATACAGTGAAGACAACCTGTCAATTAAAATCGAGATTTATTTTTTGTTTGTTTTTTCTCTTGTATTTTATTGAGTAAAACCACAAAGTGCTAGAGAAAACATTTTTTTGACTATGCGCGTGAGAAAGAATAAAATAAAACCGTGAAAATGAGTTTTCGTTTTTTTCCGCATTTCCGATCTGAGCATCTGGCAACTCTTATCTAGATAATCTTTCATTAAAATTCAAAATGTGCAGCTTAGACCTGACGTCAGTCGTGCGAGTACTTAACGCCCTTTATTTATTTGGTTCTACATATTTTATATAGCAGGAAAAGAAGAATGAGAAAAAAGATCGCAGTTAGAAATTTTGAGTTCAGTCCAAACGTAATGAAACTGTTCGTCGCTAGTCGTTAGAAAATATATGAATCGTTATCTATTCAGTCATTCGAATATAGCTAGTTGTCAATAAATAAATCTGCAGAAGAGCCGAAAAAAAACTATTGAGCTGGAACTAATGTACATAACCAGTGAGTTTTTTCATCGAGACTAAGACTAATTTGTTCACGAAAAGTGAGTATCAATATTCTTAAATTCACGAACTACAGAACAGACTTCGCTCAACATTTTTTTTGTTTTAGTGTGTCATTTTATAGTATTGAATATTGAAATTCTGAAAATGTTAAGTTAACATTCAACCTGAGAAGACAAAGTTAATCCAAAAGGATGAGTTAAATCGATACTGAACCTTTTCGAAACGATTCCCAAGAAAAGCCGAAGAAAACTATAAGACTTTCGTTGTTCCTCCAGTAGAAAAATGTTTTTTACATTCTCAATAAGACGCTATCCAAAGCATTTCCTTTGTCTTTTGAATGATATGTTGGAGAAATTTTTTCAATGTTTTGTGATTGGAAAGGCATCTTTAGTTGTAAACAAATTCTGGGTCAGGATTGTCATCTCTTCCGCTTTTGGGATTTTACCGTCTGCTCTCCGATGCTTTCGAGCATTTTTACTTGTTTTCGTATTTACTCATACATAGTACGCAATCGCACAATAATAAAAAACAAAATAAGACGCACAGAGGTGTAACTCGTCCGCCGGAACGACAATCGAAAACAATCTTTTTTCTATTCTGATTTCGAACTGTTATTGCGAAGGTGATATTTAATCACATGAAATAAGCCTAGAGTGACACTCGAAATAGAATGAATACCTCTCTTATTTCAACTGACTTAAAAATAACACTAAATAGTAACACTATTTATTGTGAGGAGTTTTACAATTTAGCTCTTACGAAACCAGATATGCTTAAAGCAATACATAGTTAACAAAAATACGACCATAGGTGAAAAACCAACATGTGGC